TACATTTTAATAAACTCGGCTTGAATTTTTTTCGATCAATTTCGCTTTAAATTTAAATTTTAATATATTAGTTCGGATTAAAGTGTGGGATCACCTCATCCCTACCAATACCAGTCCTGTCCATAGATTAAGTACATTATAATTTATTTATAGACAAAAACACTCGATTTTTGTAATTTTTTAAAACAATTTTAATACCAAAGATTGAATACATTAAATTATAATTTGTCATAATAATAGATTAAAAATATTTAGTAGCATATCATGGAAATTACTCCGTTAAGTTATGTAAGCTCAGTTTGTGCATTGACAAAACTATAAGTATTTGAGTCTACATGTGAAAAACCAATAATAATATTAGGAAATACAAATCTTGTAGGTGGTGAAATACTTAGAAGTAGCAAAGACAGGATGTAATAAAGATATGAGGGTATACATTTTTGCAAGTTATCGTTACCATTGATTTTTTATACCTACACATTTTATGTTGTTTATTTATGTTTTGATGTAAAATAGCTGATTACCTACCCAAAGGAGATTAAAAAATTATGTACAATCATGTTTCTGGCTAAAATTGTAGTGCTGGCCAAAAGTAACTTAACATAGTATAGAGAATTAAACTGTTTTGAATTTATTATTTAGTTCTAATTTGATCGTTGAACGTACATCATATCTCTTATCTCCTATATTATACCCCTATCTCCTGTCCCCACCCCAACCCTATCCCCCCTTATTCCCTACCCCTATTTCCACCCCAACCCCTTATCTCCTACCCCTATTTCCACCTCCAGCCCATCTTCGTGTGGTAACGCTACGCTTTTTTCGGTAATTTGCCATAGCTAATTCCACCCTTTTCACTTTTTTCGTTACGCTCTTTTGGTAACGCTTTTGACATTTTCATGTCTTAGCTCTGGCACATAACCGAAAAAAAGCGTTACTTCATGGTAACGCTTTTTTATTTAGCGTTACCAAAAGAGCGTTGCCAAAAGATCGTAACGAAAAAAGGTGGGTATGGGAACGGGGTGGAATTAGCTATGGCAAATAACCGAAAAAAAAAGTTACCAAAAGAGTGTTACCACACGAAGATGGGTTGGAGGTGGAAATAGGGGTAGGAGATAAGGGGTGGGGGTGGGATAGGGTTGGGGTTGAGGACAGGAGATAGGGGTGGGATATAGGGGTAGGGGATAGGGGTAAGATATAGGAGATAAGAGATATGATGTACGTTCCACGTTCAAATTAGAACTAAATAATAAATTCAAAACAGTTTAATTCTCTATATATTAAACTATGTTAAGTTACTTTTGGCCAGATAATAAACACTACAATTTTAGCCAGAAACATGATTGTACATAATTTTTTAATCTCCTTGGCTTATGCTGTAACTGGAAGCACCATGTAATTTTTTTTTTTTAATTATAATTCCACAACTAATCTATATTTATTCGGTACTTCAACGGGACATGAAAATGCTCTTTCGTGGTTGAAGACTCGGCTGAAAAACTTTTTTATAATCAGAATTCACAATTTCATTTCAGCTCTAGCCTCTGTGAGTTAAATTAATTTTTTGTTTTCATTATTTTTCTGTATCATTTTAACAATTAATTTTTATAATAATGAGCACATTAAGAGGAAATAAGTGTGTATTTTTTAACTGCGGGAAAAAAAAGAGAAGACCCAGCTCTCAAATTACACCGTTTCCCGAAGGATGGCCGTTCAAGGCAATGGGTATTGAGCTCAAGTACGTACAATTAAAATCATCTATACAAATTTAACTAGCGTCCGTAGGAGACGCGGATATGCGGGGCCCGGGGCCCTAAAAACATTTTTTCGTGAAGCCAAACAAGATTGACCCAAAAAACCCGAATTTCGATTTTTTTTTTTCAATCGATGTGTTTTTTAATGCTGAAAACGATGGCACAAAATTTGCGGAAACGCTTAGTTTTGAAGTTACAGCTACTTGAACTTAGAAAATTATCTTAATTAATATTAACCGCTCTATGTTTTAATAATATTTAATAAATAGAAACCTGTAATAGCAAAAAATTAAAACATTGAAAGATATTTTGACTAGTTCAAAACAAAACTAAGTAATTGGCTACCTAATATTTAAGCAAACACTTAGAACGACTATTATCGTTTTTTAATTAAAATAAATTTGATAATCGACCATAAAGTTTTAGTTTATCAGTTAATTTTTTTTGCTTTGGTGTATATTTTATTTATATCATTTTTTAATAATAAACTAATAGGTTATTATAGGAATCCTCAAAATTGAACGAGGGAGGAAGTAGGGATTGTCTGGTCCCTGGCAGCGACGGCGGTGGTGCCATTAGACTTGTTGGAGGACGTAGGCATTACAGTCGGCCTAACCCGTGCACAGCCGCCTTTAATGGAGCCACATTTAACGGCCAGGTGGTTGTGTACTCTGGGCTGGTGATAAGGCCTTCGTCCTCGTCGCGGCGCAACCGTCGAGGTATCCGGAAAACCCCACGTAGTAAACATAAGTGACATTTATAAATATTAAAAACATTTTCTTTTCTACATTTAATTTGATTGATGTTTTAAGCTGTTACCAGTGTGGGGTCGATGGCCACCTCGCCAGGAACTGCTCGGCATCAGGTCCGTCGGCAACTCATTGTGGCAGTCCATGATTTAGTACATGTTTTGCGATGACTCGTTCTGTGCCGGATTGCCCTGCACCGACGTGGGGTCCGGTGTTCAGACAATGGGAAATACGACGCTATAGAAATCACAATAAAGATTATTATAGCTTATGCACACTGCTCAATTTGTATTAATTGTCCCGGTCTGGAAACGAGGTCAAACGGATATACCAACAAAGGGAACCCGTTGATAAATTGAAGGGTCGATGAATACTAGCGTTTCTCGCGGGATAGATTAATAAACGGCAATAATTGCCGGGACGACTTTGGCTGCCAAACAATTATTACTAGAGGGGTCGGCTGAGGTTTGTGTCACACACCAGCTCTGGCAATCGTCATTCGATCACGAAGGCTTTACTCGTTCGGTCGCGAATTTCTTTTGCACATTTTTAGTGAATTTCCCATCATAAAAACTGTTTCGTTTGTGTGTATTCGACAACGTCACCATGTTCAAAATCTATATTGTCTTATCGGCTGCACTGCTATCGCTTTGGTTGGACATTGGTACCGCCACGGGTGGATCTCGGCTTCAACACGAATATACTCACGACGACCATGTTTATGCCGTGTTATCAGCAAACGTTGTCAACTTTACTATCGTCGATAACAACCAATACGTCGAAATTACATTGTTAGTAGAAGGCGTAGGTCTCACGAAAGATGTAATGGTGCGTACGACTTCAGCTTTTAAGGGGCGTGGATCATTATGCTTCACAGATCAACAATATAAGTATGCTGACTCCGAGAGAAACTCGTTTGAAATAGTAAGTCCCACATTTATGTTTTCAATACTTCGAATATGAATAATATCGGCTTGTACATTTTTTAAATACCATCGTACCCGTGGAGCATTACTTTAAACAAAACAATTCCAGTTAGTTTAATACTGATATATTCTGTTCGTTCATATAGTATGAGATATAAAAATGTGTCAAAGTTGTTTTTAGTCAGTAGTTTCGATAGGTCTAGTTTAGATGACAGTTGTATTGATAAAATACGTTGGTATACGCTTAAAACACTTGGTCGTACTGTTAAACGTAAAAATGCTGTGCTTGTGCGTTACGTTTTATTTTTCAATATGAATTTCGATAGATTTAGTTATCTCAATATGTAGTTAAAAAAAAAAAATTTAAAATTAATTCTAAAAAGTCGCTAAAAGTCAAAAACATTTTTTATAATTCATATTATATTATGTAGGATTATAATTGACGTCTTATTGTTACAAAAGAAAATATAACATTTGTATACGATATTAGGCCCTCAGATCTCGCCAGTTGCCTTCGCCCTATCCTTTATAAATATATATATATATATATATATGAATATTAATTGTAATACCCTTAATGATTTTTAGTTACAAGCAAATGGTACACGAATGTATTTAACCAACAAGTTGAAGATCGATGAAAATGTCGTGGAAGGAAAGTTGTTCCTGTGCCTTAACAGACCACGGTTATCGACCAGAAATTCGTCACATGGTCGTTGGGTACATCAAGGTGATTTTGGTTGGATCGTTTGGCCTGTACCACCGATGTATCTGTTTCGTAGATATGCATATAAAGTGTGAGTATGTTATAGATAAACTTTACTTATCGTTAGTAGTATTTCACTAATTAGTGAAATAGTAACGCATTAAGTTACTTAAGGAATATTAAATAATTACCAAGTTCAAATAATATCTTTCTGTTTCGGTGATAATTATTTGTTGATCAAGAAAAATTTAACTTTCCGTAAAGATAATTGCGAAAAATTCGTGACTTCCGATCCCACAATGCTGGCTATTTTATTATTTCAATTTATATTGAAAATTGACGATTATTTTTAAGACAATTTTTTATTTTTATTTTTCATTTCCATACCTGTTATTCAACCTAATCCCCTAGGATTGAACCTGGGCAATTTTTATTTAAATAACAAGTTGTTTGAAATTATTACTTGAACATCGTATTTGTTAATATAATGCTCAGGTTCGACTACAATATTCGTGCGCCGATGGTAATCACTAATCTTGATTAAATAATTGTCGGTTTACAGCACCGAACCTGCAAGTGAATCTAACTCATTTGAGACAACAACAAGCGACTATGGAAAAAAATACAAACATCGCGGTAACAAGTTACATTTTTTAAATGACACGGCTTGGTCCTATACAAAAATGAACCGGACGAACACTTTAGTCACCGGTAATGGCCTCAGGTGCAAATTCCTTGTCAAAGCCGTTAAAAAGGTATACTTTTTTTTACGCTCGAGTCTCGTTTAGTCAAACATCAGAAAACTATCAGATTCTAAAAATTATATAAACTCATATATGTTTTTTTACAATCACCTTTTTTTCAGCCAAACTTATTGGACGACTACAGCAAGTCGGAACCCTCAAACCTTCAGCGTGAAACAGTTTATTTATGTGAGCACTAGTCGGCCGTAGCGGAGAAATACAGAAAAAGCGATAATAGATGTAAGTAAAGGTTTTAGCTTTTCTTTTCGTTTTAGCTGTAACTGTCCATTTTATTTGACGTTTTACAAATATTTCCCTTTCCTTAAGTGTTCTTCAGGCGGTTAACTACTTCAAAATCAATTGTGAATTTAAAAAAAAAATTAACGAATTTTAGTAATTATTAAAAATTGTAAACATTTTAAAAATCAAAATAGAAGAAGAAAAGGGGGTTTAAAAATACCGTTTATGCACCTTTATTTTATACAGCTGATTAATAATATAGCTTCGTGATGACACTTCATTTACTGAACAATTTTTGTTTTTTTTTTTCAGAACGCCGAAAAAATTGAGTAATGCTAATTATGCCTGTACTCGAATTGCACCCAAATTTAGTTGTTTGAGAGGGTACCTGAAGTCGCACATATCACCTAAATTTTTTTTAGAAATCATATACACTATTAAACTATATGCACGAGTATTTTGCACTCATTCTAAAAATCGATTTTATTATAATTTTATCGAGTTATAAATATAAAGTTATTATACTCATTCGGTGTGCTATGTCAAAAATATATATTGAGTAAAAATAATATGTCTTATACTTGTATTTAATTAACTAATCTAATTAAAATAGAAAATTATAAAACAGATTCACATTAAATATTTTTAAAGATTGCAACATTCACATGGATACTATAACAATTGAGACAAATTGTTTGTAAAGACGATCCAGGTGATTTAAACCAAATATTTACTTCTTTTACATGTTTATCAATAGATAACATTAAGTAGGTGTTATTGTTTTTAAATTAATCAGGTAAGGATAAACAGAACATGTTTTGAAACAATCGTCATTAAATATTTCAAACAGGTTCTGTATTTTATATAAAAGTATTCGGTATTCGGTTTCTAAAATAATATTCACAAACGATATTGAAATTTACTCAATCTGTGTTAGCTTTACAAGTAGATCAATGTACAATACAAATGTTTTGCATACAATTAAATTGTAAACATCAGTTTAGTATTTACGAAAAAATTCAAAATTATCAACTTTTCAAGAGGATTATCTAAACATTCACAAGTTCCATTATAAATTGCATAATAGATGCACACAAAATATTTGTAAATAATGCATTATGCAATATTCAACAAGGATACTATAACAAGAAGATCATCTTATATATATTTATAAAAATGACATGCAAACTTGCCCGATATATTTTGGTTTTATATATTTAACTTTAAGGACCGAACCCTACACGACTTAAAAATTCCTGATCAAGCTACCCAATTCTATAAAAACTTCCACAACACTTTCAATCACCAAAATCCACTAATATCTAAATTATCTTCCCTCACTCTCCCTGACAACCCACGACGCCGCCTTAAGCGTAAATGGCCCAGAGATCTTCTCAACCCAAAAGTAAATATATAAATATAAAATAAAAACCACATCACACGCTAGTTTAATAAAACATTAACTTACACATCTGAAGTAGTGTTAATGAACGCCCCCTTTGATCAAGTCGACCAGTTTTGTAAATAAATTAGCCCTAAATTTTACTTATTGTAAATATAAATACAGATTGTAAATATTTAAAAAAAAAAAAAAAAAAATGGTCGAACCAAAATGATCATTTTTTTAAAAAATTTCTTTTTTGTTTTTTTTTCTTGTACTTGTTTTCTAGCATTCTTCAGTTTTTTAGAAATTATATTCACTACTAAACTACACGCACAAGTATTCTACTCGTTCTAAAAATCAATTGTATTATAATTTTATATAATTCTAAATATAATGATATTTTACCGATTAGTTGCAGAATAGCAGTCTAAATACTGTTTAGTCTAAAAATACTGTCCTAACAGTCTGGAACCAATTTTTAATTTAAATGTTAACAACTTCTAAAAACTGAACGTTGACAGTGCTTAACCAAGGACTAATTTTTTAATTGTTAACTCTTAACATCATACTGAGCTAGTTACTACATCCATTAATTACAATTACTCTGTCGATCTTCTTGAACACACAAATCTTGCAAACCAATGCTATAGGTTACAAATGAAATTGGTCCTGGTAACAAACAACTTTTAAATATTACATAATGATTTCTACAATATTCGCATATACTACTGTATAAGGTTATACTATATTTATTACTTATAACATACTTATATTCCAAGACCCAAATACACAATAATAATTATATTCAATATAATGACTTAAGTTAAATTGCTTCTATGTTAACTTAAGCTTGTTTTTTTTAATACCAAACAGTGAGTAACAAACGTATATTTATAATATATTAAAAGTCAATACCTATATTATAATATTTTAACAATATGCAGTGTGTCGAAGAGGTCTGCCGTTATACTTTACGTTCAAACAATTACTTTTTTTAAAGACAAACATAACTGTCTTAGTGTACCAACATTTAGGACATATCTTCAAGCTATTCCAAAAAGATTCTAAGCGTGACACCAAAGGCATATATATTCAGCTAACTATAATCAGTGTGTTAAAGCGTGTTAACATTACAACCGTCTTAGTTGCATAAGTATATATGAATCAAGAAAAAAAGTGTAACATTTCATACATTGTTTATTCAAGTCTGCAGTAAAGACAATGGGTAAACTAAATTTCAATTACTGTTTAGCATATCACAATTTATTAAGTTTATTCTAATATGTGTACTCCGGTATAATTATCGTTTAAAACAGCAAATGGTGAAATATACGGTTTACTAAATTACAAAGCCGACAATAGTTTTTAACTCTTGGCTACCGACAACCTTAATAAATGCTCGTTTTTTTACATTTAAGGTTTAATATATAAATTTATTTCCATTTCAACATATTATGCAAGTCAGCTCGGGTTGACACGCATTGACCAAAATATGTGTATCGTATTTGTTATACATTATAATACATGACATTTGGTAATGTCATATTTCTTATTACCTTTAACACGGACAAGACTATACGAGTACACCATTTCATGTCCGGTATGTTAAAATTGTACAAGTCATAATATAAGGTTTTTTATTACATTTGTACAAATAGTATACCGTATTTACACCACAAACGCATCGGTTTAACGAAAAAGATGTAATAGCATAAAAGCTTTCTTTTCGACAAAGACCAGTGTTTTTTTGTTTTTATTAAGTAAACGAATCGTGTCAACACCAAAGTCACCGGTCTATCGGGACTCAAAAAACGTACAATACGAAATACTAGCCGGCGTCTGCACTCGAAACCAATCGATACGTACGATTGAATTGAAGCAAAAATATTGAGTAAAAATTTGTAATACCTAGTTTTTTAATTATACAAAATTAATAACTACGAAGCACGAGCAGCAAAGTATCCGAAATGCAAAATGAAAGAAAATAGTGATAAGCGACTGGGATAGGGACGCCGATTGTTATCTAGCTAGGTTAGGTCGAACACGGTTATAAAAGATAACACGGTAACTGATAAGCCGTACACACACCGTATGGCGGTAAACACACAGTTTATTAAAATATTATAGGATTTTCTTGTAAACAAAATATTAGAGCTCATAACAAAAAACAAATTAATAAACACATTCAATCGAATAGTATGTAGTTTTCTCATTTCCTTCGATAAAATACATTTTTAAGTAGTAAGAGTATTACAAAATGCGATGCTGTAAATATTTTATACAGCAACATGTACAATATAAAATACAGTATGTATATATAGGTATTGTTAATTAAATAAAAATTAGTTATAAAAATACTTTTAACGAAACAATATAACATAGTTTATTTTTAGTATCTGACGATTTTTTAAGGTTTTTTAAACACTCAATTACGGTAGTTAAAAAAAAACCAAAAATTTACAACCCAATCCCAACTGTGTGACACTAATAGTGTAGGTATCTCTACTCGAGGACAGTGAAAGAATATTGAGTACTTCATTAGGTGTGACTGTTATATTTTTGTGTACTGTTAGGGCCCTAGGGGGGGATACAACCCACGTATACCCCCTCCCGTAAGTACACCACTGGTTCTCAGTTATATGACCATTAAGACAATTACAATTTTAGTCTAAATAAAAATAAAATTAAAAAAACATACTCCGTGTACCCTTTAAATGAATAATTTCCAAACGATCACGCAATGTTTGCGGAATAGATGTCACTTTTAAATAAATATACATAGTTTTATTAATCGTTTGATGCCCAGTTTTCTTATAAAATATTTACTGTTGATAATTTTTAAAAACAATCTACACTTTTTTCTACCCAAGTAAAACAACTTGACGCGGTCGCACCGCGACCCCAGCCGGTGGCGGATGCTAACTACATTCGTCACCGCTGGGTGGCGACCGCATCTCTTACCTTAGTCCGTCAGGTCGCGGGTCGGCAGCGCGAACCGGTCGCCGCCGCCAGCTGACCACTACTTCCTATGTGGATACCGTTTCGACGATACATTTTGTTAAAAAAACCATATGTTTATTTTGTTCAAATACATTTATCCGTAATAACTGAACACCAGTGTACCCTTTATTTCAACCCCCATCTATCTCGACCACAACAAACTATACTGTTTCTCTAAACTAATAATAATCAATTAATTTTTCTAACAGCGATAGAGTGTAATATTCTTTGTTTCAAATTGCACATACCGTAATGATTATCCTGCAGAATCTCAATAAAATTGTTTTATTTAAATTACGAATATACAAAACCAATAATTAATTTAATTTATTAATAAAAATAATTGGAACAAATCGACTTTACCACCCCAGACCCGAATTTCGATTTTTTTTTTTTCAATTAATTTGTTTTTTAATGCTGAAAACGATGGCACAAAAAAAAATAAGGACAGGTAGTGTAGATAGTAGATAATCTCTTGTTTTGTTCAGAAAAATCACCTAAAATAGGTTTCGAATTAATTAAAATGTCATACGTAAGTATAGTCTCTACGTGTTAACACGTATTATTTTCACTTAGTTCTCTTTCTTTCTCTTATTTAAAAAAATGAGCGAGTTCAATTTATTTAAAATTTACAAATTGTTTGATTTTGAAACCAGAACTCAAATTAACGTAAATGTTTTAAATATGTGTCAAACTTGGACACTAATACCCGAAGAAGGCGATTACAAATGTCCAAGGAATCATATTATGAAAATTTGTGAACGTAACAATAATATTGATGGCTTTATTTGGAGGTAATTTTTTTTACAACAAACTTAATTTACTGGATACTTTTTTGTTTAGAAATTAATTTAAATATATAAATTTAATGTAGATGTCGTGAAACAATTTGCGAAAGGAAACAAAAAAAGAAAACATGCGACTTTGATGTTTCCTTGAGGAAGGGGGCACATTTTTTGAAAAATCCCATTTGCCCATGATAAAAATGATTAGTTTTTCTTATTTGTGGCTAAAAAACGTAACCCAATATGGCCGAAATAAATATAACCCGTGACACCGCGGTTGATTGGTCGAGTTTTTGTCGGCAAGTCGTCCATAATGGAACGGTTGTTCACAAAATTAAAATTGGTGGACAAGGCATAAC